GTGAACCCCAAAAGTACTAGCGGCATCAAAACATTATTTTTCACAAATGTTTGCATGCATTTTTTTATGGTTAGTGTAAAGATCTGTTCACGGAACTAAAAATTCAATGAATAGATCGCTCCTAACAGCATATTGACTCTTACATTAGCGGCTATTACATTAGCATGCTTTTTTTTTAACATAGCTGGAAATGTTTAATTTTATGAGGGCTTTTTCTTATGTTTAGCTTAGCCCTTTCAGCCAAAATATATGCATATATATATTGTTACACTTTATTAAGAGAAGGATGGCGCGACGGCCTATAAAGAACAAGACTGACTTTTATGGGCCCTGTATTTGACTCAGAGGGACAAACATACTGGCCCACTCAGACCCATCAATTTACAAAAAAAAAACTTCCAATTTCTTTGGTAGACTTCAAGGGCACTCTAATTTATGCCACTTATTAGGCACTCAGTGATGTCAGTCTCGCCTGACGTGACAGTAACATGCTCTTGTCACGCAATACCATAACATTAGTGTTGCATGGCATAATGTTGTATGAATGAACATAGTTATGTGTCATGGTGTTAACGTGCTGACATCGAGTGAAAACCGTGACGTTACCATCGGGGCTAAATGCCAAGCGCATAAAAGTGCCAAGAGAATGCCCTCTAAATGCTATACATTTAAAACCAAGCCCTATCATTGTCTAGTGTTGGCACACCACAGCTCGGAGCATGTGGAGTAGAAGTTTGCACTGCAGGACCCAGGGACCTTGGTTCAATAAGCATTTAACTTGTATGCTTTTCGACACACATTCTTTAGCAGTTATAACATGGATATTGTTGTGAACCAAATCAGTGTGGGCAATACCTTTAGGGGGTTGGAGGTTTTCCTCCAAGAGCCAATGTTTTGTTATGGTCATCTCTTCAGGTCAAGGAATGTAGGCTTTGGCGTATGCGATCGGCTACCAAATCATTGTATAAATTTTTATATGCTGCAGCGACCTTATTTTTGGAGCGAGCATATTTTGCAAAGTGCTGGGTTCATGAATAGTTAGTGGACACGAAATTTCGCGATTGGGGGTAGTGGGCTGCGTAATCTGCACCACAAAGGCATTTATTGGCATGATACATTTTTTTTAATACAATATGAAATTTGCGAAGATGTTGTATCCTTGGGATTTGTAGTTTGATTATGACATTTGGTTTCTTTGCTAACCAATTTTTTTTTTCTTCAAATTTTCAAATGTGCATGCGACACCTTTGTGGCTTAGCGCAGCTTGTCTGTGCGCTACAACAAATACTTCTCAGTTGTCAACAAAGTGCAACAGGCATTTATAAATTTATATAAACAATTTTGCTCTATATAAATATATATCCCAAATAAACGTGACCTGTAAATATTGGCTTGTACATATTTTTTATGCTGTTTGAGACATTCCTTGCCATAAAGTGTAGAGCAATAGACTGTTCGCTAAATTACTCAAGCATCAAAGAGAATGTTGGGAACAAAGGTACACGCGCTGCACGTGCTTGCCTTCCCTATTGGGGAGAAAATTGAGTGGTGGCACTTCCTAGCGGCCACCTCGGGAACTAACGCTGTGTGGCAAACAAACCCCCTGACCGCAGTCAAGAGTGCGTTTGCTCCCATGGAAGACGATGACGCAAGGCTCGTGAGAAATATGTAACACTAATATTTTCTCCTACACGTATATAGATAGAAGTAGTCTAGACCTCTCTTTCGTTCAATGTCATCTAAGTCCTCTTGGAAGTCAAAACAAGCACACGTATGGTTACGCGCGGGCGTGCCGGGCCAGCCGCGTCATGTTGGCCGCGCGCACTAGATCGTGCGTGGCCGGTCCGGCGCCCGTGGTTTTCTGAATGATTCACAAACCACGCAGTCAACTTTCCAGTTACCCTGTCTCTTGCGACAATCATAAACGATATCGGCGAAAGCGAGCGGTGTCTCGTTGAAGGAAAGGGCGTGCTCAACTGCGATCATGTCATGAGTGCAGCGTTGCACCAGAGCCGACGGCGGACAGTATCGGCGTCGTCGCGTACTTGCTGCTGTCCTGCGCGCTGCAGCGAGCACGGAAACGATGCGGCGTACGCTAGGCGAGTGTCAGCGTCGGAGCTGTTTGCCACACGGCAGTTGTTTGTGGTGATGATGACTATTATGAAACTGCGCCCCCTATAGTTCGATCTCCGCGCCAATAAAAAAGATCCAGAGTAAATAACCAAAACAATGCGTCCGTGGACTGCGCGTGTGAAGTGATTGTCTTAGGCTCTTGCTTTCGAACAGTTAGAGCTGAAGATGCCAGCACGCGCAGCGCGTGTACCTGTGTTCCCGGCATTCTTTTTGACGCTTGGGTAATTTGGCAAAATTTCTACTTGTGATAGTTCAGTTGGTATCAGTAAATTTGGTGTTATAAACATGGTGGAATTCACTGTTATAAATCATAAGAATGTTTTATCCTCCTTGATATGCTCACTTTACAACTTGAGGCAACTGTTTCCCTGACTATGGTTTGCTATTGGTTTGTTCGGAAAAAATGTCATATTTTGGTTAGACTTGCTTAGAGCAATTACTACCAAATTTTTTTTTTGCAATTAAAAAATAAATGAAAAAAAGTTTATTTGAAATGCTTTGTTATTTAAAGCAAGTACAATGCAAACAGAATTGATGTTATTCACTGCTGCAATATATCTCTTGACATAGATAAATTTAAACCAACTTCAAGTGGCCTGTTAATTTTTTTTCCCCAAAATTCCAGTGTAAACACTGTAATGCCTTCTTACAGAGCTTTCGTCATGTTATAAAAGGTTGCTCAAGTAATAGCAGCTTTTCTTGACAGGTCTTTCCTTAGAGGCTGTGCTAGTAAAACTTGTTTGTGGCAGGTACTGTTAAGGCCTCTGTCAAGTCTGACTTGCGTGCCATTTATTAGTCTGAGAAGTACAATTTCTCAGCATGATATTAGTATTGGGGGTTATGTTGGCTCCAGGGTTTTAAACTTGTGACTTTCTATCGGTCCAGGCATGTATCTTCAACTGTAAACTCTGCTCTCAGGATCCTACTCATAAGGTTTTATTTAGTCAAATACACGTCCTGTCTGAGGGGCACCTTAATATGAGTCGCTTCAGTTGCTCCGAGGCAAAGCACCGACCTAGGGATTCCAAGGTGGCGGGTTCGAATCCCGGCCGAGGTGCCCGCAATGTGACTGAGGTTTAATGTGGAGACGGCGCCATGTAACCAAGCTTTCGGTTGCATGTCAAAATATCCCCAGGTGGTCAAAATTGATCATCAGTCCTCTGCTGGGCCATGCCAGATGCCCGTCGTTGGTTTGGCACGTAAAATCCCCAAAATTTGACTTTTTTTTATACTAGATTTTTTTGTACAAGTAGCGCAAGATGATTCTTATGCCTTCTGGATAGGGTTGAACTGCATTTTCTATAGTCCCCGCTATGCATATGTGTAACATGAAGGTTGTTGATTCCCTCAGATGTGAAGATATTGAAGCAATATTTGACTTGCAATATCTCGCATATTCTATATGGTACGGTGTTCAGGCTGGCCTCGTTGATATGTAGCACAGGGCCATCGGTGCCATTGTGCAGTCAAGTTAATGTCGCTGGCGTCTCACTGAGAAGGAATCCCTAGATGGTGCTTTTCCGAAGGGCAGCACACGGAGGAACAGAATTTAAATCCAAAGCAAAAATACGCTCGTACCCGATTGTTATTTTCTGTCTACTTCAGGAATCACTTAGATTTCAAGTTAAGATTGTTTCAGTGGGGGCCCGTCAACCTTGTATTGGGAGCATTATTAAAAAAAAAAAAAATCCTTGCTAGTTAACACAGAAAGAAGCATAACTCGTGGTGTTGGTTGGAATATAGTAATTCGTTTTTAATTCAGCCGCGGGAGACGTTACCCGGTAGATATATTTTTTATTAAACATTTCTTTGAATTTTTTGTTTGTTTGAGACTGAGCCGAGTTTTAAACATTTTACCTAAAGGCATATGGTGTAATGTGGGGTACTTTTAATGCCTAATTTGCTCCGGCATGAGTGATGAAGTACACTCCGTGACAATGTTAGTGTGAACAAGGTATCGCCTGTTTATCTCTCAGTATTCAAGGAAAATACTAGTGGTGGAAAGTGTTCACTAACCTGAGAGATGAATTTTGATGTCCGCCAGTATCCCTTTGAACTGAAATGCGAAAAAAGCACCGAAGTCGTGTTTGCGCTGGCAGCGTCGCGCAGTGTTCTTCATGTGCATTTCGTCACTAACATACTGTCGCAGCTGCGCTATGAATTGTTCGCCATCCCTTGGCCCTTGTGCGGCGTCGATTACCTCTTGTTCGATGTGAAAATTATCGTGCCTTGTTGTGTGTGTTGATGGGTGGTTGCCCAAATTATGTGCTGTTGTGAAACCAAGGAGCATGGCAAATGTGTCATGCTGTTGGCAAACGTGCCATGCGACATCGCAACAACCGAGGAGATCAAATGTGACTTGTTTGGTTGTTGCGACATCGCAGCACTTAGCGACAGAACAATGGTTTGGAGTGGTTTGTCTCTGAAGCATTTGGAAAGTCGATAGCTGTTGCGTGGCCTACCGAAATTGACAGATCCTGCTGCGTCGCTAAGGTTCAGTGTTAGAAGATGGGTAACATAGCAGTGCGCGGAACGAAGAGACACCTTAGCAGAAAGTAGTGATTCCCATCACTACTTTCTGCTAAGGTGTACTGTCCTCCGATAGTATACGAAATTGCTCCTGTAGCTGTCGCTCTGCTTTACCCGGAAAATAATGTGCGACCTGTTTGGTTGCTTTTCCACTTGCTTAGAGGGTGACTAAAGTTTCGACAGTAGCTTGCGATGCTTTCGGCACAAGGAGAGTGATATGACGTGCAGCCATAATGAATAAGAGCTCGTGATTTTCCATCCGCCATTGGGTAGAATGTGGTGATCTTAAATTCGGAACAAGCTGACCCGGCCTTACGTTGGACGCTTGCCTCTTCCAGGCGCCCATTGACCCGCTGCAGTTGCTGAAGGCGCTGTCTCCGCTTCTTTCGGCCGAAGGGGGCATCCGCAGTTCGGACGAGGTATCGAGGTTGTCTAGGTAAGGCCCACGACCGGGGTATCCCAGGTTTGGGGAGGGGGGAGAGGGGGGGGGGGGGGTTTCTCTAATGGGCATATCTGCTGGCTCTCAAGTTGTGGCACAGTCATTTGTTTTTGCCTTTCCCCTTTTAGGAAGAAGCAGAAGCGTATGTGGGCGTCCGCCGCCCGTGTGTCCATAACGAACGCGAGCCTTGTTTTTCCAGGACAGGGGCCCGCTTCTTGCCAACGGAGGAACCCAACCGGAGAGAGATGTGGTGCCGCACTGTGCTTTCTTTCTCTCTCCTGCCTTTCGTTTTTCCTTTGTCCCAGTTCCCTCCCGTCCCGTTGTTCTTTCTGTGTGTGCGTACTCGCCCCACGAGCGGCCGGAACCCGAAGACCACCTGGCACAGCGACGGTCGGAAGACCCCCCGGCGATGGCTCCGACACCCTTCCTCGGGCCAGAGTGGGTGGTGTAGCCAAGAGTAAGGACTCAACAGTTTGCTCCGGCCGCAGCGCGCGGGCCCTACCCCGACGTCCTCGACGAATTCTTAACGACGTTGTCGAGCGTTTGTGAGCAGCAGTCTTGCGGACTTTGTAAATCTGTGTTGCGCTGCCGACGATGACAACCGACGACCACAGCGCCGACGAGGAGGTACGGAAGTGGGGGTTGGTTGTGGTGTTTGGAGGCTAGTTCGCGCGATGGGGGACAAAGGTGGGAGGGGGGCAGGCTCTGTCATGTCTCGTGTCTGCCCTTCGGCCCCTTTTGCCGACGTCGGCTGTCTCAAGCCTTGCTTGCCGCCTTCTCCCACTTCCTTTGTCTCCAGAGCGCCCTTCCCCCTTCTAGACCGTTGTCGGTCGCACCGCAGGTAAGTGGACACAAGGACGCGGGCTTCTCGGGGGACTCGGATTAAAGCCCGACTTTATGAAATAGAAGCTTGGACTACTAGAGTTAGGGGTTCAGGGACTGCGAATAGAATTTCACATGGAAATGAATTTAGTCATCGACCCAAGTTCAGTGGTAGCTTTATTTTTATGGGAAGGGGGATCTGTTTGTGTCTGTCTGGGTGGGATGTGCGACATAAAACAGCCGTGTGGACTGCAGCACTGTCTGGTGTTCTGACGGACGGGAATCCATAGTGTGTACCGTCGATTGTGTTGTGCCAAATAAACGAAGATTGTTGGCATTCCTGGGCTGTTTCTCTGCAAGAAGCAGCTATCGACATACTGGGGCCTGTCGTCCCGTCTAGGGTTATCCTGGCGTCTTCCAAGGTGCCAGAAAAACGCATGCGAACGAAAGACAGAAGACGACACCAGCGCCATGCCAGATTTCTTAATTACAGCCATTTTTTTTTTATGACTTTACAATTGTTTCACGAGTGTCTAGATTAGAAAATCTTACAGGGACTGACCGAACAACTAATATCCCGGCTGGCAAAAAAAAAAAATGTAAATGTTTTGGAATGCTGCCACTTATGTGGTCAAACGCGATCTACGAGCTGCGCGTTACTGCGCTGCATTCGGTAGCTATGCCTTATTTTACACTGGAAGTAGCGAGTCTGCATTTGAAAACTGTCCGCTATCATAGTCGCACGATCACCGGCAGCAAAGGTTGGTTCGGACATTTGCGTCGGTTGGGTTCGTGGCAGCCAAAGCAGCAACGACAGAATTGCCGCCCCTTCCGTGCATCGTATGCCGCGCGGCAACCAGCTCGTTGATAAGTCGGCCTCCGTCGCTTGCGAGCGACGTCTGTCGTTCGTGGGCGACGTAGGGACAATCGCACGCAGGGGAGGTTACGGGCGCGTGTCCGATTCCTGTAGCTGCGTTCATTGGCTACTATAAGGTGTACGGAGGCCGGTTATCCGGATGGTTCCTTTCCTGCAGTGTAAACACGGCCTACGCAAATGTCTGAAGCAGCCATAAGACCACCACTCTACAACAAATAATTTGCTAAATTCGTTATTTCGAGGCATTTCGTTTTATGTCGACGTGCTTTTACAGCGCACGCGCTTCATCCTGGTGGTTCAAGTGACTGCTTCGCTGTTGAAAAGCATTTCGTGCAGAAAGACCTTAAAACAGATAATCAGGGATATTGTCCTTAATAGTGCCCCAGGCAGCACGTGCCCAGTGGCGAAACCCACTTGCTCTGTGAGTGATCCGAATAACCACATTAGTTTCCATTAGACGCTTGTTTTGAGACAGCGTTCTGAATTCGTAAAGCAGAAACAACAATGTTACACGCGATACAATATAGAGCGTCCTAGCTACAGGACCACCACACCAGTGCGGGGGACAGTGAGAAGGAACAATGTGGACATCCATCGCGCGAAGACTGCGTGCTGCGACGTAGCAGGTGCTTTGCTAAGAGGGATCTGCCAGTTGCTCTATTTCAACGCAATCGGCTGCCTCAGGTTGAAACGCACGATAACCGATCTTCTGTAATCCATCTATTTATTAAAATCACGCTTCCAGAGATCCTGGTACCAAAATGCGTGTTCGCATTTTATTGAGACCATGATAGGCTTCTTCCAGCGCTCGTGACGTGCACGCACGTTGTCTGCCCAGACAACTCCAACTGGCGATTTCTCAAGAAGATTAATAGCTTGTACAGTCCAAATTTCAAGTTTTCCCCTCCCCGACTTGGTGACCTCAGCGCCGTGGGATTATGGCTCTGGGGCCTTCTCTTCGGAAGTCACGTTATCCTTTCCTACTTTGGGTAATTTATTCACTGCTAGGCACGTACTCGATGGAGGAGGGTTGGGTTTCATAACCAGTTGGATCTGGTGGTGGTGAGGGCTGCGCTGCAAATAAGGATCGCCCGATACACGCCTGAAAAAAAGGCACAAGAAAGATCGCGTTGGCTGTTCGGTATCTTTTTTGCGCGACGGACGAAGTCTTGTTAACTTGGGCACTGAGCGGCTCGTATTGTGCAAATGCATTACCGAACGGTTATTTTCCGCCCTAATGTAGCGCTAGCGGTCCGGACCTCATGCCAACGTTTGAGAACTAACCGTTATCTGGAATTTTCGCTGGTATATTGGCCAACGAAGATAAGTTGTGAAACTTTTTCGTCCAGCTCGCACCGCTAGCGCTACATTTAGGCGGAGTATGAGCGTTCGGCAAGGCGTAGTTTTTGCAATAAAAATGTTTCTAGGGGAGGGGTGGGGGAGAGAGGGAGGGGGGTGAGTGACGCTTTGCATTGAACCAAGAACACCTGGCAGGCGGTATCGGAACGCACTGGGATGCCGCGTGTAAAGTGAACGCGTGGCTATTTACTCCTGTTGCCTAAGATGTGACGAGAACGAGCTACTTGGTATTCGTCCGTTCATGTCAGACGGATCCGGTGAAAGCTGATTATGGTCGTGTTAACATTGAGGCAGCTAGAAATGGGTAGTAACGCTGTGTTCGCCACTGCCGTCGTGCATATCCGAGGTTATCCATCGTCCGTAAACGATAGGTAAACGTTCATGTTCTAACGTCAGCGCGAAGAAAAAAGCAGTTACGGTAATTTATGGGGAATTGTAGACCATCTGCGCAGTTTGGCCCTGCATTATGGCTTCACTTTCGTTAAAAGGAGAAATCGTTCTTACCCCATCTCTCGCGAGATTCGGCTTGCTCAATTCCTCTCCATCCCCCCGAAGTTCCAAAATACTCCTCTTGGAGGCGAAGATTATTCTTCCAAAGACTGCCGCCGACCCGCCAACGAAGAGTTGAGCCGTACTGAGTCGCTCCCTCCTTTGGAGTCAGTTTGCTCCACAGGAGGGATCGAAGTGACTCCCTATAGGGTGTTTTCACTGACGTAATTTCGTCCACCATTTTGTTGTTGCGAACTGTCTAGCGTGTGCCAAACTCGAGCATTTCAAGGATTTACACGCCTTCTCAAATGCGTAGAGCACCGCTGACATTATTTCAACCGGTTACGATGTAATCCTTCAATGTAGTAAATTAGTTTAAAAAAACAAACTAACAACAAAATGGCGGATTGACGTCATGTGCAAACAACCTATAGTAGACAGGTTAAAGGCCGACCTGCAAAATCTTTTTAACGAGGGTGAATTCTCATCGCCACCCTAACCATTTCCCACTCTTAACTTGAAGGTGGAGGGACTCTCTTTGTTGCGGCATCTTATCCCTGCACATCCAGCCCCAAGATGCAGGAACAAAAGGAGTCCCCCGCCTTCAGGAGTGGGAGATAAAAAAGCGGCGAGATTTTTCACCATGGTTGAAAAATATTTTGCAGGTCGGCCTTTAAGAGTAAAGTGGAAGCTCCTCCCACCGCTTTCCACTTCAGCAGAGCGAACACTGGAGAGGAGGCGACCATTCTCTACTAAAGTGGCAAGGTGGGAGGAGCTTCCACTTGCTGAGTAAACTGACGCCATACCTCACTTCGTGTCGTTGCCGAGTGCTGGACAGGGGTTTCCCCAGGAATTAAAATTAGCGGGGGGGGGGGGGGGGGGGGGGGGGGGGGGGGGGGGAGGGAGGGAGGGAGGGGGAGGGGGCGGCATTGAAAATGGAGTCGTTGCAAATTAGGGGGCTCCCTTCGCACACACCCTCTAGGGGGTGTGTAGGGAAATCACTGGTGCTGGATGTAAGCATGTTCTAGATTTACCTTTAACATCAGATAGTAGCACCACCTCCAAAGCCCATGTCCTATTCGCAAAAAGAACTACGGGAATGACACTATCAGCCTCGCTCGATGCCCCCTTTGAAAAAAAAAAAAAAAAAAAAAAAAAAAAAAATCGTGACAGGGCGCACGAATCTTGTGTGGGACCCGAGCAAGATTTCCCTTTGGTTTTAGAGGAGTTAACTGGGATGGGACGCTGACAACAGCCGCTCACAACCGTAGAATGGTAGGGTATTTGGGCGAGTGGGATAATTAATGAATGAGCGGAAGCTATTCAGATCTTGACCTACGTCTTCCACAGCGTATGCGACGAAGTTCCTTGTGTGACATCCTGCGATGTCGCTCGATGCGTGGAGTCTCTTGGAACTCCTTTCCCGCGCGATCTCGTAGCGGATGTCGGG